AGTGCTGGAAGTCCTGGCTACAGCAATCAGACAGGAAATGAATTAAAGGTATCCAAATAGGGCAGAAGAGATCAAACTTTCACTGTTTGCTGATGATATGATATTATATCTAGAAAACCCCAAAGATTCAACCAAGAAACTCCTGGAACTGATCAATGAATTTCGTAAAGTCTCAGGATACAAAATCAATACACAGAAATCAGAGGCATTCCTATACGCCAACAACAATCCAATTGAGAACCAAATCAAAGACTCAATTCCCTTCACAATAGCAACAAGAAATAAAGTACCTAGGAATATACTTAACCAAGGAGGTAAAAGACCTTTACAGGGAGAACTATGAAACACTGAGGAAGGAAATAGCAGAGGATGTAAACAGATGGAAATCCATACCATGCTCGTGATCGCAGACTCAACATCATCAAAATGTCATACTAACCAAACGATCTACAGATTCAATGCAAACCTATTAAAATCCCATCAGATTCTTCACAGATATAAAAAATAATTTTACGCTTCGTATGAACCAAAGAAGACCCCGAATATCAAGAGCAATTCTAGGCAACAAAACAAAATGGGAGGCATTAAAAGGCCAGATATCAACTATACTAGAAAGCTCTAGTAATTAAATCAATATGGTATTGGCACAAAAATAGGAATATTGACCAGTGGAACAGATGTGAGAATCCTGATATAAAACCATCCTCATATAGCCATCTAATCTTTGACAAAGCAGACGAAAACCTACGCTGGGGAAAAGAATCCCTTTTCAATAAATGGTGCTGGGAAAACTGGATAGCCACCTGTAGAAGGCTAAAACAGGACCCACACCTTTCACCTCTCACAAAAATCAACTCACGCTGGATAACAGACTTAAACCTAAGGTATGAAACTATTAGAATTCTAGAGGAAAATGTTGGAAACACTCTCCTAGACATCGGCCTAGGCAAAGAGTTTATGAAGAAGTCCCCAAAGGCAATCACAGCAGCAAGAAAAATAAATAAATGGGACATGATCAAACTACAAAGCTTCTGCACAGCCAAAGAAATAGTCATGAAAGTAAACAGACAACCTACAGAATGGGAGAAAATTTTTGCATCCTATGCATCCGATAAGGACTGATAACAGAATATACTTAGAACTCACGAAAATCAGGAAGAAAAAAATCAAATAACCCTATTAAAAAGTGGGCAAAGGATTTGAACAGAAACTTTTCTAAAGAAGACAGAAGAATGGCCAACAAACATATGAAAAAATGCTCAACATCTCTAATCATCAGGGAAATGCAAATCAAAACCACAATGAGATATCACTTAACTCCAGTGAGAATGGCCTTTATCAAAAAGTCTCCGAACCATAAATGCTGGCGTGGATGCGGAGAGAGAGGAACACTCCTACACTGCTGGTGGGACTGCAAACTAGTTCAACCTTTGTGGAAAGCAATATGGAGATACCTTAAAGCGATACAAGTGAATCTACCATTTGATGCAGCAATCCCATTGCTGGGCATCTACCCAAAAGATCCAATGACACTCTACAAAAAAGACACCTGCACTCGAATGTTTATAGCAGCACAATTCATAATTGCAGCTGTGGAAACAGCCCAAGTGCCCATCAATCCAAGAATGGATTAATAAAATGTGGCATATGTATACCATGGAGTACTATTCAGCTCTAAGAAACAATGGTGATATAGCATACTTTATATTTTCCTGGTTAGAGCTGGAACCCATACTATTTAGTGAAGTTTCCCAAGAATGGAAAAACAAGCACCACATATACTCACCAGCAAATTGGTATTAACTGAACAGCACCTAAGTGGTCACATAGGTACTACAGTAATAGGGTGTTGGGCAGGTGGGGAGGCGGAGGGCGGTATATACATATATAATGAGTGAGATGTGCACCATCTGGGGATGGTCATGCTGGAGACTCAGACTTGTGGGGAGTGGAGGAAATGGCATTATTGAAACCTTAAAATCTGTACCCCCATAATATGCTGAAATAAAAAAAATCCTTTGAATTAAAAAAAAAAGAGAGAGGAGGGTTTTTTTCTTTGTTCGTTTGTTTTGGGAGAGGAAATAGGGAGATCTATGAAGGGAAGAAGATAGGCACAAATGGAATTTTTCATCTATGATCTTGGGGAAAACTGCCAACTGTTGGGGTGAAGGGAAAACTTCCCCTTCGCCCTCAGAGGTTCACCGAAAAATCAACGCACAGAAAAGCAGATTTAATAAGAGAAAAGTTATGAAATTTATTTTAATGTATATACATGGGAGCCCTCGTAATATGGAGATGCAACTCCCCAGTGGAGTTCAGAAGTTTATATGCCTTTCTGATAAAATGTGTTATGGGAGGGGGAGAAGAGAAATTCTGTTGAGGGGCAATAAAGGGTTACTAGGGAGGATGAGTGGATGGGGGAGGAAGATTAAGTATAGTTCCCTTAAAATTTAAAGGAGCCTGAGAGATGGGCCATTGTCTTCTTAAAAAGTCTGTTCAGGTATGGTCACATTCCCAGTCTTACAGGGAGGGGAAGAAAAGAACAATTGCTCTCCTGGGTGGGTCTGGATCTCAGGCAGATAAAGAAACTTCAGTGAGGGGCGGGCAGCGGAAGCGAGAAGGTCAGAGAGATGTTGAGGCTTCTTTATTCAGTCCAGAATATCAAAATGCCATGAATGCCATATTTTGGGGTGAAAATATTTCTAATTTCCTTCACTACCATGAAGAAAAGGTATCCATTTCTGGGGCCTGGGAATTGGCCCTGGAAATCTTTACTTTAAGGCCACCTGTAGGGATGGTTTTCCAATTATCCTGGGAGTGCTGAGGGCCCTCTACCTTGGTGTGTCTAGCATAAGCCCCAGTAGCATTTTTCTTTCATTTTGATGGCAGTGTAGACGGTTTGTGTTGGGGTTTAGAAAACAGTACCCCAAAATAAAGGCCTCAGTAGGGGCCTCAGAAGCAAAAGTTTTTCTCTGACCTTCTTTAGCTTCCTATCTCTTAGTTTCATTCTCCCCTGAGGCTACCCACTGAAAGTGTTAATGGGATCTGTCTTCCCCATGCCAGGTCATAGAAACCAGAGCCTCTTTTCTCAAAAGCTAGCTATGAGACCTGACATCATTGTGTGCAAAAATTGGCCATAACGAAGTTATCTGACCTATCTGGCTTGTCTGTAGGTCATAAGACTCCCATTCCAGAAAGGGCTCTGCCCTACATCCAGGGAGAAAGGAATGCATGCCCGGAGAGGCCAAGAAGAAAGTAGACTGACAGGGCTCGCTGGGTATCCCCACTCAGCCTGTTAGACCCTAGATCATACATACCCTTTCTGTCCAAACGTATTTCTACATGGCTGCCTACACTTTATTGAAGCGAAGCACAAAAATGGACAATTTCCCCTGTATCTTTGGGTGTGTGTTCTCAAGGCTCCCATGTATACACAGTAAATAAGTTTGTATGCTTTTTCTCCTATTAATCGAACTGCCTCATGTAAGTCAACTGGCGTAAGTGAAACTGCTGATTATATTTCCATTCCCTCAGATTCCTTTGGAATATTCGAGAACGTCATACAAAGTAAATTATACTTTACCTCATTGGGTCTGGTATCTTTGTCTCACAATTTCTGTGAAATTCATCCATGTTCTTGCATGTTTTAGTATTTTGTTCATATTATTATTGAGTATTTTTCCATTGAACGAATATAAATTTGTTTACCCATTAAGCTATTAAGGATTAGTTCTCGGTTTCTAGGTTGTGGAATAAACTTATCAATAATGCTGCTATGAACATTCATTGGCACGACTGTGGACTGTGACTAAGTTCCTAGGACTGGAATTGCTTGACCATAAGGTAAGCAAAAAGTTTAACTCGATAATAAACTATTATTACACATCCTAATTTTTCTATTCTTGACATCACTTTACTCTTAAAATCCATCAATCACACCCAACTCCATCTAGTTTCTATAAAGTGCACTTCTACCCTCAGAATTCCTTTAAGGAATTGAGCTTCCCTCTCCTTACCATTTGTTTACAATTCCCTCTTTTAATTTCATGTTGAATCGTTTCCTCATTTAGGATTAAGAAATAAGTGATTAGCTACCCCTGGTTTGCACCAATGCCATTTGTTCTTCCCCCATTTACGACTCCCCTTAGAGAACACGAACTTTTAAGCCCAATTCTACAACAGTTTTCTTAATTCCTTCTATTTTGTCCCCTCTTGCCTAGGTCCCCAGGCCTGGGTCCTCAGCTCACTGAGCACAGCCTCCCCTGATGAGCACACCATTGTTATGTAATAGTCTAACCCTGCCCATTCAGCTGTCAGGAAGCCCCAAGCCTGCAACCTCACTCTGCTTTCTTCATGGGTGCCCTGGTGAGAAGGTTGATGTTTTGGGGGTAGTCTTGCCTACCTCCCACTTGACTGCATTTTTCTGGGCAAAGGCGCTCTTACTCATGGGGCCTGCCTGGCTCCAGGTCCCCCTGACGGGTACTCTCTGGTTACTGGTGCTCTGGGCATTTCTATCCCCTGTCTGCTGCTCCCATGATCCACCAGTATGGCGCTTCGCTTCCTCTGAAATTGTGATCCCCAGGAAAGTGCCCCCTAGGAGGGGTGGAGTTGAGACGCCAGACCAGCTCTCCTACAGCATACGCTTCCAGGGCAGAAGGCATGTGATCCACATGAAGCTGAAGAAGGCCTTGCTGCCCAGACATTTTCCTATTATTACTAATAATGACCAAGGGGCCATGCAGGAGGACTATCCCTTTGTTCCCCGAGACTGTTACTACTACAGCTACCTGGAAGGAGTTCCGGGGTCCATGGCCACACTGGACACTTGCTATGGAGGTCTGCGTGGCATGATACAGGTGGATGACTCCACTTACGAAATCAAACCTCTGGAGGCTTCTTCCAAATTTGAACACCTGGTATCTTTGCTTGTGTCAGAAGAAAGACCAGGAGAGGCTCAAAAGTGTAACATTGACGACGAACAGGTGGATGAAGCATTTGAAAAGGTAAAACTTGCTGAAATTCCTAGAGCAGGCCCCGCTTATTTCTGGAGGCTTCATAAGAAACATATAAAAATTCACTACACAATTTCTAGTTCATTATCTTCAAACATGGGTAAGAATATGACACTCATGATAGAGAATGCAATGATTATCAACAGCATACTACATACCATTTTCAAACAAGTTGATCTAAATGTCTTCATACGTGTTTTGTGCATATGGAGGGATTGGGATGGAGTACCCCTTGATGAATTCCCTAATATCCACGACTCTGTATCTGATTTTGGTGTGTGGAAAGAACATGGTATTTATAAGGAGGCTAGCCACGATACTTCAATTCTTTTAACAGGACATGCAGTTAAAGGCGCCCACTATTTTGCCTTCCAGAACGCAATGTGCAATGCCAACTGGGGAGTAGTGTATGTATTTGTAACAAGGGTTCACATATTTTTTGCTGCAACTGTTGCAGCACATTCACTAGGTCATAACATGGGTGCAGACCATGATGCGGAGTATTGTGTTTGTTTTCGAAGAAGCCACTGTCTCATGAGCAGTCCTGCCGGTCTTAGAGATCTAATGAGTAATTGTAGTTATTATGCTATTCATCGAAGACTACTTGAATGGGATCCTTGTTTAAGTAGTCCAAACCCTCCTCCATATAAAAATTTTCCTTATGTAGCACCCCGCTGTGGAGACAAGATCAAAAATGCGCAAGAAGAGTGTGATTGTGGCTCATTTAAAGACTGTGTTAATGATAGGTGTTGCGAAACCAATTGTGTCCTCAGAGGCGGCAGTCAATGTAACACAGGAGCTTGTTGCCAGAGGTGTAAACATGCTCCTTCTGGAATGATTTGCAGGGAAACACTTGGTATTTGTGATCTACCGGAATACTGTACTGGGCAAAACGAGACGTGTCCACCTGATGTCTACATTCAGGATGGAACTCCATGTTCAGCAGTAGCTGTTTGTGTGAGCGGAAACTGCAGTGACCGTGACTTGCAGTGTCAAGCCCTTTTTGGCTATGAAGTAAAAGATAGTAAACCAGTATGCTATCAAAAATTGAATATCATGGGTGACCGATTTGGAAACTGTGGGGTTAGGGTAGTACGAGGGGGAGGTAAATCTGTGAGGTGTGAAGAAAAGGACGTTTTTTGTGGAATGCTGCACTGTAGAGGTGTCAAAACTCTTCCGGGTGGAGGTGAACACACTACCTTTCATAGAATAATAATGCACGATGCTCAAGAAGAAGAATGCTCTGGATATGATGCACACTTCGGAACAGAATTGCCAGAAATGGGGCTTGTAGTGGATGGTGCAACGTGTGGCCCAGGAAGCTACTGTGTACAACAGAATTGTACGTTTTATCAGGACATGAATTTTGACTGTGATGTGAAGACATGCAATTTCAGAGGAGTGTGCAACAACAAAAAACATTGTCACTGTATTCGTGGTTGGAAACCACCAACTTGTGAAGTGAGAGGAGTAGGTGGCAGTTTAGATAGTGGCCCTCCACCTAATACTGAAGCTGGTTTTCGAGCCAGCATACGTGTGAATATAAACCATGCGCTAATTTTTGTCTTGATTCGTTTCAGTCTTTTTCTGTTTATACTTATCATCGGTTGCCTTACACAAGCAACGCGATCTGTAGAAGAGGTAACAGTGGAAGCTACTGAAGCACCTAAAGCTACCAAGTCTGCCAAGAAATAATAATGAAAGCCCATGCAGAGGGGAAACTCACATTGGCACTTATTGTGAGAAATGATCAATAATCACTCTGACAACAACAGAATCTTTTGGCAATTCTGACGTCATCTGGCAATAAAATCACTTTGCAATTTGTGTCTGCTCGTGTCCTTAATACTCCCGTAGATGAGGGCATAAACCCTTAGACACTAACAAGAGGACCTGTACTTATTTACCATTTGGTGTCTAATATTTTCTAGATACCCCTGTAGCAAGTCTTGTGTGCAGTTGTATGTGCTTGTTTTTAACACTCTTAAGGTCTTTTTCTGATTGGTTATGTACGAGATTTCTGTTATTTGTCCATATCATTGTTAGTGCTAAACAAATAAGCATAGAAAGTAATTTTGGCAGAGGTGCAACAGGAAGATTAAAGATCTTTTGCGTCACAGGTGCCTTGAATCTCAGCAGTGGTCAGGCCACCTGCTGACTGTGAGATCATCCGCACAGTCTTAATAGTCCAGAGTTTCAAGGTGCACATTTTACCGTCGGAGATGAAATGTACTTTCCCAACGCTTCTGTGGCAATTAAAAGAAAGCACTTAAGAAAGGCCCGGGACAGTTTAGGCACTTAGTATGTGCTATCTGCTATCATTCTCATTATTATTCTTGTGTCGCGCTGTACCTGGGGTATTCCACATGTAATGTCTTTGGCATGTTATCTTTATTTTTAAGTCAGGACCTAAGGAGTCATTCTTCACTGATACATCACTTCTTAACGTCTCTGCTTGTCGAAGTCATAGGATCTCATTTTTTAAATCTCAGGAAGTGCCTAAGTACAGCCTGCCTATAAATCCTAGGATGAAGCTGAAACCTGATGTATGTACAGACATAAAATTTTAGCTAAAGGGAATCGGGAAGAATCACTTCAGAAACAGTGCACTAGAACAGGATCCGATACCCAGGAATGATTACATTCCTTCTGTTTAAACAACTCAGGTCTGAGATCAAATCTCTGTATGCAAATAGCAAATCTCTTTCTGAAAATGTCAAATCTGAATGCAGGTAGCCAGCAAAGGAGAGAGGAAGGATGTAGAACTAGAGAATCAATAGGGTTGCTGCCTAAGACATTGTAGTTTGTCCATCTTTTGTATAGCTCTGTTGGCCCCCATGTTTTGTCCAGTTGGCTTAACTGGAAAAGTCGCCCGGGTCTTCCTCCAGGGATGGGTTTGATCCCCTGTTACTGTGTCCTTGTCAAACATCAGTAGGTGCATTTGCACCTGGCACCACTGCCTACTAACAACCAGGCTGGATGACCATTTACTAAACCGGGTTCTATATCTGTGACCCAAAGGCAATTATTGAAAGTACAGTGTGTCGTCCAACAAGGAGAGTCATTTTGTTACTGTTTGAGCAGACCTTTTGTCAAAGTATTATAACTGTACGGCCTCGTGGCCTGTTTTTCTCTGTCTCTCTTTTTTCCTCCTGTCCAATATCTGCTCATATCCTTTCTGGTCTGTTTTGTATTTGTGAAGCAGTTTTGTTTTCCCCAAGCTGTTTCATCTGTAGTTCCATCAGTTCGAATGTGTGTGGTTTTCGCTGTGTTCATGTTGCTATGTTGAAAGTACTGAACTGTGTGTTTCAACTGGAGAAGAGGTCTGGTGTGACAGACAACTTGATTATTTCTGAATAGCATCTGATAATTCAGGTTAAAGGCCCTAAACAAAGAGGTGTTCATGTCAGCATTAAGGCCTAATATGAGTGTTCATTAAAAGCGGCCCCTAGTTGGTGCCAGAGATTTGAGACAGGCTCATCACACCCAAGTAACCTTGATGGCATTAACACATAAACTGTGTGTTTCTTTTTTTTATAATTTATAATTTTTATTTTTTATATTTTAGGAAAATGTGGGGATACAAGCGTTGAGGATACATATATTGCCCATACTCCCTCTCCCCTCTTGAGTTCGAGCTTCCAGCGTTTCCATCCCCCAAACGTTGCCCTTCCTACTGGTTGTGGTTGTATATATCCATCTCCTCCTCCCCCCTCCCACCTGCCTGACATCCAATATATGTTATTCCTATATGTACACTTAGGTGTTTATCCATTAATACCAATTTGCTGGTGAGTACATGTGGTGTTTGTTTTTCCATTCTTGAGATACTTCACTTAGTAGAATGGGTTCCAGCTCTATCCAGGAATATACAAGAGGTGCTATATCACCATTGTTTCCTAAAGCAGTAGTACTCCAAGGTATACATATACCACATTTTATTAATACATTCTTGAATTGATGGGCATTCGGGTTGTTTCCACAGCTTTGCAATTGTCAATTATGCTGCTATAAACATTCGAGTGCAGGTGTCTTTTTCATAAAGTGACCTTTGATCTTTTGGGTAGATGCCCAGTAGTGGAATTGCTGGATCAAATGGTAAATCTACTTGTATCACTTTGAGGTATCTCCATATTACTTTCCAAAGAGGTTGAACTAGTTTGCAGTCTCACCAGCAGTGTAGGAGTATTCCTCTCTTTGTGCATCCACGCCAGCATTTATTGTTTGGGGACTTTTTGATTAAGGCCATTCTCACTGGAGTTTAGTGGTTTTGATTTGCATTTCTCTCATGATTAGAGATGTTGAGCATTTTTTCATATGTTTGTTGGCCATTATTCTGTCTTCTTTTGAGAAGTTTCTGTTCATGTCCTTTGCCCATTTTTTTGATAGGGTTGTTTGATTTTTTCTTGCTGATTTTCCTGAGTTCTAAATAGATTCTAGTTATCAGCCCTTTATCGGGTGTGTAGCTTGGGAAAATTTTCTCCCATTCTGTGGGTTGTCTGTTTGCTTTCCTTGACAGTTTCTTTTACTGTGCTGAAGCTTTTTAATTTGATCAGGTCCCATTTGTTTATTTTTGTTGCTGTTGTGATTGCCTTTGGGGTCTTCTTTATAAATTCTTTGCCTAGGCCAATGTCTAGAAGAGTGTTTCCAATATTTTCCTCTAGAATTCTAATAGTTTCACACCTAAGGTTCAAGTCTGTTACCCAGCATGAGTTGATTTTTGTGAAGGGTGAAAGGTGTAGGTTTTGTTTCAGTCTTCTACATGTGGCTATCCAGTTTTCCCAGCACCATTTATCGAATAAGGATTCTTTTCCCCAATGTATGTTTTTGTCTGGTTTTTCGAAGATTAATTGGCTATATGAGGATAGTTTTATATCTGGGTTCTCTGTTCTGTTCCACTATTCAATGTCCCTGCTCTTGTGCCAGTCCCAAGCTGTTTTAATGACTATATCCTTGTAGTATAGTTTGAAGTCTGGTCAATTGATACCTTCCATTTTATTTTTAGTGCCTAGGATTGATTTTGCTATACGGGGTCTTCTCTGGTTCCAATGAAGCATAATATTATTTTTCTATATCTGTGAAAAATGATGATGGTATTTTGATAGGGATTGCGTTGACTTTGTAGGTCACTTCGGTACTATAGACATTTTAACAATGTTGATTGTGCCGACCCATGAGCATGGTATATTCTTCCATCTGTTTACGTCCTCTGCTATTTCCTTCTTCAGTGTTTCATAGTTCTCCCTGTAGATGTCTTTTACCTCCTTAGTTAAATATATTCCAAGGTACTTTATTTTCTTTGTTGCTATTTTGAAGGAAATTAGGTCTTTGATTTGGTTCTCACATTTATTGTTGTTGGCATATATGAATGCCTCTGCTTTCTGTGTATTGATTTTGTATCCTGAGACTTTACCAAATTCATTTATCAATTCAAGGAGTCTCTTGGTTGAATCCTTGGGGTTTTCTAGGTATGATATCATGTCATCAGCAAAGAGTGACACTTTGCTCCCATTTTGACGCCCTTAATTCTGCTCTCTTGTCTGATTGCTGTAGCGAGGACTTCCAGCACTATGTAGAAGAGAAGTGGAGATAGTGGGCAACCTTGTATAGTTCCAGTTCTAAGTGGGAATGCTTTCAATTTTTCCCCATTCAGTATGATATTGGCTGTGGGTTTGTCATATATGGCTTGTATCATTTTTAGTTAAGCCTCGTCTATGCCTATTTTGTTGAGCATTCTTATCATAAAGGGTGTTGAATTTTGTCGAATGGTTTTTCTGCGTCTATTGAGAGGATCATATGGTCTTTGTTTTTGCTTCTGTTTATATGGTGAATTACATTTATAGATTTGCATATGATGAACCATCCTGCATCCATGGGATGAAACCCACTTGGTTGTGATGGATTATTTTCTTGACAAGTACCTGGATTCAATTGGCTAGGATTTTGTTGAGAATTTTTGCATCTATATTCATAAGGGTATTGGTCTGTAGTTTTCTTTTTTGTTGCATCTTTTCCTGGTTTTGATATCAGGGTTATGTTCGCTCCTAAAATGTGTTGAGGAGGATTCCATCCTTCTCGATGTTGTGGAAAATTTCTGCAGGATAGGCACCAGTTCTTCCTTGTAGGTGTGGTAAAATTTGGGTGTGAAACCATCTGGTCCAGGACTTTTCTTTTTAGGAAGGTTTTTTTATTGCTGTTTCAATTTCAGTACTTGATATTGGTCTGTTCAGGAATTCTAATTCTTCCTGGTTGAGCCTAGGGAGGCTGTGTGTTTCTAAGAAATTGTCCATTTCCTCAACATTTTTCAGTTTGTGTGCATAGAGTTTTTTGTACTATTCATAAATTATATCCTGTATCTCCAGGACATCAGTTGTAATTTCTCCTTTATTGTTCCTGATGGAACTTATTAGAGATTTTTCCTTTCTGCTTTTCATTAGTCTAGCCAATGGTGTGTCAATTTTGTTTATTTTTTCAAAGAACCAACTTTTTATTTTGTTAATTTTCCATATAGTTTCCCTGTTGTCAATTTCGTTCAGTTCTGATTTGATCTTAATTATTTCACTTCTTCTGCTGGGTTTGGGGTTGGTCTGTTCTTCTTTTTCCAGCTCTTTGAGATGATTCATTAGGTTGTGTATTTGTGATCTTTTAGACTTTTGGATATGGGCCTTTATGGAAATAAACTTTCCTCTCAGGACTGCTTTAGCTGTGTCCCACAGGTTTTGGTAACTTGTGTCACCTTTGTCATTTAGTTCAAAGACTCTTTTGATTTCTGTCTTGATTTCCTCCTTTATGAAGTGATCATTCATAATATTGTTTAGTTTCCATGA